TTTTTTTTTTTTTTTTTTTTTTTTTTTAAAAAAAAATTTTTTTTTTTTTTAAAGATGACCGGTAAGGGGATCTTAACCCTTGACTTGGTGTTGTCAGCACCACGCCCAGCCAGTGAGCGAACCGGCCATCCCTATATGGGATCCGAACCCGGGGCCTTGGTGTTATCAGCACCGCACTCTCCCGAGTGAGCCACCGGGCCGGCCCCCATCTGGCTTTTAGCTATTTCTTTTCATTAACTTTTTAGTGGTTACTATAGACCTGTGCTGTCCAATATGGTCTCCTGAAAGGAAAAAAAACACAGCAGTGTTTTTCCTATACTCTTACACAGCAACAATCAACACAGACTTCTGTGACCAAATCTTTGGGGTTTTCCCTCCACACACCAAGTAATTCTTCAGCAGACACCATCTTGGTGTACGTCAATTCAACTGCAGCACTATCTTCCTGAAGATAGTGTCAGATCCCAAAGTTGAGGACTTAGTCCTCAAGACTATCCCCCGATACACACACTTTCAGGTGCCAATCGTAACCCCCAGGCTGTTTTACCTGTGCTTCGGACCAACCAGATATAAATTGAGGTTCTCATGACCCCCTCCTTGGGTTCAATTAATTTGCTAGAGCAGCTCACAGTACTCAGGGAAACACGTTTACCAGTTTATTATAAAGGACGTTACAAAGGATACAGATGAAGAGATACATAGGGCGAGATATGGGGGAAGGAGTGCAGAACTTCCATACCCTTCCTGGGCCCATGCCACCCTCCAGGAATCTCCACTTGTTCAGCTCTTTAAGCTCTCCGGAACCCTGTGCCCTTGGGTTTCTATGGAAGCTTCATCAAGTAGGCATGATTGAAGAAGCATGGCAACCGTATAGAAATGTGATTGGACAAAAAGGGTATGATCTAACACTAACACTGGGGAGATTCTTTGTTCAGATTCTTTATGGCCTTTCTGTGCAGCATTCCTTTCTCCTGGGTTTGGTGCATGACCCCTCCTGAAAAGGGGGTCTTATCACCTACAATCAGACAAGGAAGGTTGGAGAATTTCTTTATGGTCAGCTCCAAGACAGAAAGGCAGGAAGAAGATTAGAGTCCCACCTTGGGGAACCAGGAACCATGGATGAAAACCTGTATGTGTGTGTGTGTGTGTGTGTGTTTTATATAAATATATACAGTGATATATGTATATATCATAATATCACAATATCTATAGAATAAAGTCAAACATTTCATAGGGAAAAATTTTTTTAATTACCTTGTTCAGTATAATGAAAATGTCTGTAGTCTTGTAAAATCTGTAAAATGTAAATATAATTTTATTTGTTTTAGCTTTTCCAGATAAAAAGCTTTCCATAAACAACAATGGGAAGAGAATTGTACGTGTTTTGTGGTTAAACAAAAAAATATATAGCAATATCACTGGAACACTAAATAAAATGAAAAAATTCACTTTGTCCATCTGCCCCCAACAAGCCAAATGTTTAAAAAATTTTTCTCTTCTATTATTTATTTACATACATATATACTGTTATGCACTTATTGATATAATTTTTTAACTGTGGTTTTAAAAAATTATGTATTTTTCAGTATTGTTATAGTATTTGTATTTGAAATGTTGATGGCTATAAAATATTCTATCAAGGGCCGGCCCGGTGGCGCACTCAGTAGAGTGCGGCACTTGGGAGTGCGGCGGTGCTCTTGCCGAGGGTTCAGATCCCATATAGAGACCGGTCCACTCACTGGTTGAGTGCGGTGCGGGCGCGACACCGAGGGTTGCAATACCGTTGCCAGTCGCGTTATGGGCGCGACACCGAGGGTTGCTATCCCGTTACCAGTCACGAAAAAAGACAAAAAAAGGAAAAAATATATATATATATTCTATTAAGCTATATCATTACTTAATCCTAAGGTGTTTTCTCAAGGTTTATAAAACTGCTTCCAGTGTTCAGGCTGGAAAATCCCCTATAATGGTTTCCTTGGTGTCCTGGACTATGTTCAATTAGTAAAAGAAGTATATGTAAATGCTTTTAATTTGGTAGTATATTCCCTTATATTTTTCAGAGAAGTTTCATTCTCAAGAAGAACTTTAAGATATGAATTTTAGCAAAATTTGTCTCACTTTTAGACATCCTTCACATATATTATTACTGTATTTCTGTTAATTCTGCAACTATGTTTCTCTCTCTCTGTTTTTAAGCTAAATGTTGCCAGCTACCTACAAATGATCTGCTTAACTGAGAATTTTAGAACTGACGTAAAAGATTTCGTAACCTTGTTAACTGCAAATACTTGCGATATCAGAAAAAGTATACTTTACTTACAGTTCTGGATTAGAAGTGGAGGTGGATTTTTAGAAGAAAGGCCATTATCTCTTTGTCGTAAGTTGATCTGTTATGAAAGAAATTTCTGTTATGGAACCCTATTTTAAAATATATGCTATACCAAAATATTTAAAATGTTATACAAATTTTGAGCATTCAGTTATCACATTAATCTTCAAAATAAATATATATATGTCAGTTTTGTTCATGAAAAGCTTTTTAAACATTAAATGTGGGTAAATAGAATTAAACTAAAGCTGAAAACAGGGATTCTTCTCCTGGCTGTGCTTCTCTTTATTGTATAATCTCCAAAATTCAGTTTACCTCTTCGTGCCTGTTTCTTCACTTGAAAATGAAAGGTTTGGACTAAATAATCTGTGGGTTATTTTTTATTTTGTAGTTGTTCTTTTTCGATTATAAAAGTAGCATGGTCTCATTGTTAAAAAAAAAAAAACCTTCCCACCCCATTCCCTTTATTCCCTAAAAGTTTGACTTAAATTTTCCAAACTGTTACTTATACATTTATAAACATCGTTTCTTATAACACAAATACAACTATAATTATTATTTAGCAACTTCCTTTTTTCACTTATTAAAAAATATGTTGATTTTTCCACATCACTATATTCATGTATATGTATAGTTCATTCATTTTATGTGACTGTAATGTACGTAAGATCCCTTTTAGTTCCTTTAATAGTCTTTAATTCAATTTTTCCTAAGAAGTTTACTATCTCAAAAATACTTTTATTTTTTATTGCTCTTCAGTCATCATTGTTAGCTAATTCAAGTCACAGACATTTTTTGAGTACATTCTCCATGCCAGGTTCTGTGTTTACATGAGTAAGACTTCGTATCTTTCCCGAAGAAGTCTCTATTTTGTGATTTCCATGCTCCATAGTCACAGTTAACATAGTTATAGATCCTGCTCTAGGAAATACGCAAATATTTAAATAAAGCCAATGTGGAGTTTGTAATCAGTTTGTAAAACTGATGGTTTATAAAAAAACTATCAGTTTTTCCTTTAATTAGTTCGAAATTTTAACATATTCTTTTACAAAGTAGACACACATATATTTAATTCAATGTAAGCTGGTAGCTTTAACCATTTTTCAAAAATAAATATGATAAATAACATGTCAAAAATATCTAAATATCTAAAATGGTGTAAAAAATAAATTAGTTAATAACTGTTGCCATACTACTGGGTATAAATTGCTATACCATGAACTTTAGAAGACAGGAACTAAGTATAGCATAGTTTCTCCACTTGAAGATTTTATTTTGTATGCATTTCACTCCTGCCTTTTTAGAAAATCACAAATATGCACTCTGGAAATTCAAACAATACAAAACTATATAAAGTAAAAGATATTCCCCTACTTATTAAAGGTAGACGCTATTAGATCTTTATACATATAAAATATTGCTACATACTTATTTAGCAAAATTAATCAGTACTATATATATTGTTAGGCAATTACTTTTAACTCAGCAATTTATTGGCAGCACAGAGAGTTCTACTCCATTCTTTTCTACAGCTGCATGCTATTCCATAGAATAGAATGGATGTGCCATAATTTAATTACTATTACTTATTAATGGGCATTTAAATTATCTTCAGTTTGTCATTATAGTGAAGTACAGTAAATATCTTCATACATATACCATTAATCACATTTGTGAGTAATTCTGATGGAGAGAATTCTAGAAGTGTAATTGATGATTCAAAGGCTCTATACACTTTACATTTTGAGAGGTACTGCCAGATTGCCTGCTGAACATAATTGTACCAATCTATACTTTCACAATAGTATATGATGACTCTTTTATGTGTACTATTGACAAAACTAGATTTTCAGGCTTTTTACTTTTGTCAATTTAAAAGGTGAAACATGAGTATCTTATTTTAAATTTGCATTTACACAATCTTTTTATGAAGCTGTGCACTTTCACTAGTTTATATTGTTTATTATGTATTTATTGTTAGCTATTTCTATTTCTTCTGTGACTTGCCTGTTCACAGTCCTTGCACTTTTTTCTATTGGATTGTTTTTGTTATTGTTTCATTTTATATTTTTCATTATTTCTATTGGGTTGTTTTGAAAACCCCCCACTACCTCACTTAGCTTATGTATTGTTAGAAAAAATGCTTATGTTGTACTCTTAATGAATTAAATGTATATGTAGAGAAGAACAAAATGGGGGTATAGGTCCACAAGATGTCAAAGGATCTCAGACCTTATATGATTCTGTGATACAATTTGTTTAAAATATATATGGGTAAGATTTTCTTTTATTAATTTTGTAGGAAGAAATAGCAGAAACGCTCAACTAGTTTGCTTTGAAGATGGCCCTGATTTCCAAAATAATCCTAAAAATACTAAAAAGAATCGTACATACTTTCCCAAATGTGACACTGGCTGTGCTGAGACCTTGTTTGGCCTTAAGAATATTTTTTCCCCATCCGAAGACTTATTTTCATTTTTAAAGGTATTTTTAATGTCTAGTTTGGAATGCTGAATTTATGTTCCTTTTCATCTACCCAACATTCACTCCTGTTTTTTGGAATCTTACATTTAACTTGAATTCGTGTATAATTTTTATAAGCTTTAGATTTCTGATTTGAACACATTTTGCTACTTAGACTAACAGTGTGGAGACATTGTTCTATATGCATATTCTAGGATTTAGAATACAATTTAGAAATTTTTCAGATAAAAATACAACTCCAGAGAAGTCGTTTTTAAATAAATGGTCATTTAATTGTTGAATTGGAGTATACACGAAATATTAGAAAACTTATTTCTCCAAATTAGCAATCTAAATTGAACTTTTACTCATAGTACTATTTCGATGTATTATGTGTAGGTTAATAAAATTATGAGGGGTAGTGACTCATTTTTAAGATAGAATAGGGACAACACTATATTCATATGGGTAGAAAAGTGTTACAAACTATGTACTGTTATAACATTTCTTTATTCAAAATTGTTTTTCAGCACAAAATCACAACAAAGGAAGAATGGCATAAACTCATCCAGCTTCTCACAGAATTCCAATTGCAGAATGTAGATTTTTTATATACTAATCTTGAGTTCATTCTACCACTACCAACTGATATCATTCCAGAAACAAAAAACTTTTGCAGCTCATCAGTAACTGTGGATACCAGCACAGCAACAAAAAGTATGAAACGTCCGATTAGGAAACATTCTCAGGGAGAGCAGTCATTGAAAAAGTCACACACAAAAAAACATAAGAAAAAGATGGTAATGCTAGATGATAGTGACTTATTTGACACTGAACTGGACTTTTCTGATAAATTTATAAGCCTATCCTCTGCATCTTCTTCCTCAAATTCAGAAGATAGCAAGGCCAGAGACAAAGAAAGCAATCCAGAGACAAAGAAACTGAACAGATGTTTAGAGCCTAATATTGAATCAATTCCTTGTCTTCCTAAAACACCAGCAGAAAAGAAATGTTCTGCCAAGAGACAAAGAAAGCAATCCAGAGACAAAGAAACTGAACAGATGTTTAGAGCCTAATATTGATTCAATTCCTTGTCTTCCTAAAACACCAGCAGAAAAGAAATGTTCTGCCCTTGTTTCGCACTGTTTAAATTCTCTCACCGAGTTCATGGATAACATGTCTTTCTTAGATGCCCTTTTAAGTGATGTAAAGGAACAAAAGAAACTTGGTAAAAATGACTTTAGTTGGACAAGTGCAAAGGTTAAAAGTGGACTTTGTGATGAGTTTAGTCTCGAGAATAGTGATGGATGGACTTCTCAAAGCTCTCGGGAATTAAAGGCAGCCGCAGAAGCTCTCAGCTTTAGGAAATGTTCTTCTACTATTTCGAAAGCATTGGAAACCTTGAATTCTTGCAAGAAATTAGGAAGAGATCCAACCAACGATCTTACTTTGTATGTTTCACAAAAGCACAATAATGTATATTTTAGTCAGTCGGCAACTAATTTATAGTAAGTCTTACTTCCTTTTTACTTTTCAGTAATAAATGGTAAAGGGGAAATCATTAGAGTTTCTTTCTTCCTAGTAATTTTGAAATGCTGGGCTATTGATCATGGTAAGCCATTAATATTAATAATGTAGTTTCTACTGAGGCAGTTAAGGAGAACAGCCTGATTGCTGGGAGGAGAAATAATGAGAGATTAGGGTGGGTTAGGTTTGGAAAGCTCTTGAATGAAAAGGAAAACAGGTTTGGACTTGCTGTGACAGATAGCAGGTAGCCATTAAGATTTTTCAGTATAGGAGTGATTGATGTGTTGACAGGAAATTAATCTGGAAGTATCATCTAGTCTAGACCAGAGTCAGGGAAACTGGTTGCATTTGAGATTGTTGGATTTTTATTGGACATTAGACATAAAAAGTAATGCATTACTTTTAATTCACAGCAATGCTTGGAAGAGGAGAGCAGTCATTAAAAGTGTATTTTCTAGTCGATCTCTTCTGAACCTGGGTAATAGACAAGCTAGTATAATTGAATATTTGCCAACTCTTCGAAACATTTGTAGGACTGAGAAACTAAAAGAACAAGGAAAAAGTAAAAGAAGGTAAAGTCTCTAAAAATATAACATTTTAGATAGCTATTTCAAGATTAATAAATATTCTTATCAGATGGAAATATTCAATTTTATTTTTCTTTGTAATTTTGACAGGTTCCTCCACTATTTTGAAGGAATTCATCTTGACATTCCAAAAGAGACTGTGAATACTTTGGCAGCTGACTTCCCTTAATATTCCACACTAACAATGCCTTGTACAGATCATTTTGTGGTTCTTAAGATACATTTTTTGTATTATGTTTATTTTCTTGGTAGAGTTTATTTCTCTTAATGTACATTTAAAACAGACTATTTGTATATTTTTTATTGGTGTGCAAATATTTAAAATGGAAAGATTTGACTTACAACTTGTATATACGATTGTGGTAGTATTTTTTCTGAATTTTTTGTATTATATGATTTAGCTTTGTTGGAGTATTTTTTATATGTAAGTTAGCTGTTTCTAGAAGGTGGAGTTCACCAAGATATTTCTAAAGACGTTTCAATGCTAAACTAACCTGTAAGTTTTCCCTTTCCTGTTATTCTTAATCCACCCCCTCTCCAACTAAGTATCAGTGTTCTGTCAAGTTGTAAATATGATTCACCTAGATGGTAATCTTTTATAAATAAGTTTACACAATACAAAATATAAAATCATATATGTAAAACATAAAACTCCCTAGGAAGAAAATTGTTTCATTTTTCAAAAAGTAAGATCTTCCTGATAGTTTATTTCTAGTATGAGTGTACTCCTCCAGCATTATACCACGGAATCATTGAGTGTTGACAAAGCAAAATCAAGAGTATGAATTGTAGTTTTCATCAATCTTTTTTAGTACCCATACATATATGATATCTTGTATATTCTGCCCATTCAAATCATTTGCCTTGTACATTTTTCTTGTATTTTTCTATCACTGATGTTTTACTTCATAAAGATATTGATGACATTAATATATCTATTTTGGACAAAATACTATTCATGAAAACTACAACAAAGACGGATTCTACTATAGGATTTCTATGTAATAGCCATTTGCACTTAAGGTTGTGTTTTTGGAAAAAAGTATATATTTTTAATAACAAGATTTTAAAATATGTTTCACCCAAAATCATTTTGCAATCAGATAATCAGATGTGTTTTAAAATAGCTACCTATTTCAAGTGTTTATACTATACATTAACTTAATACTCAGATACTTTATGTAGTGAATTATTTTTTTAAATCAAAAGGATCCTAATTTTGTACTGTTTTGAAAAGTATACATGCATACCTGTTTACAAATATGTGTGAAGATATGTTCTTACCTCTTATTTGTTCAATTTGCCTTTTCTTGTATTGATTAGTATTTTGTTCTAATTAAAGGTTAAAGCTAAAGTCTTTATGTAATATTTAAATAGAAGTTCGAGATGTAATCCTCTTAGTGAATATGTACATTGTGTAAGTTTGGATATAGACTATATCTTAAAGATTTCATCCTTGTACAGAAGAATACCATCTTCTGAAGCATTTTTTTGTTTGGTTGTTTTTCTTTTTTTTTTTTTTTTTTTTTT